AAAAAAAAAAAAAAGAAAAAATACATATACTAGAAATGCAGCATTCAAGTTATCTGCTGAGAATGTTGCAGAGAACACAGAGGCAGAAGCAGCATAGTGATGAACTGCTTGGATGGCTTTAGATTTTCAACATCAGGAACCTGACTGTCAGCTGCAGTAAAACTAGGTGCTCCGGTGCCAGACTGTGAGATCCATCCACCCTGTAGGTTAACTTTGGATGATATGTGACAATCAGCCCTTTTTAAAGGTAATTACAAGCTGAATCATTTCTACATTCTCCTCTTGGTCAATGTGCTCAGGGCCCGTATTTATAAAACTTCTTAGAGTGGATTTTTAGACTTTACGTGCTGAAAATTTCTTAGATTTGCTCCTACTCTCAGACTTAAGTATAAGTGCCAGTTATCAAAATTCTAAAGTCTAAGAATCACTCTTACTCTCAAGAAAAGTTAGGACTGCTCCAGAGGACTCTTAAGTGGTTAAGAGTTGCCACTAGGGTGGTCTGAGATGGACTGAGGAGACAGAGATTACAGCTGCCCTCCTCCCCACCTCAGTTACAAGGTGGAAAACAGGCTTAATCAGAAATAAAAAAAAAATTGTGATATTTTTGTCTGTATTCATGATGCAAATGAAGACATTTTATGTAATTCTACAGACAATCAGTACAAGGTGAAAACATTAGCGCGTTGTAAGTGAACTTAGCATTTTCAGTCTTATCTTGACATTTCTCCGACCCGGCAGTTCAAGCAATGCACCGAGAAACTCAAAAAATGTTCTTGAACATGAAATCCGAGGCAGTGATTGGTCCATGTCGGGGTTTTTCTAAYGACGTCATCCAGGATCAGCTTTGAGGCACAGCCAGGTGTCGCAAATCAGCTCTAAGACTGACACTTAAGAATCACTCCTACACTTCGCTTAAAGTAAGACTGAGACGCTTGGCAACTGACTTTTACTCTCAGCTTTTAACTAAGAATTTTTTTACACTTAAGTCCACTCTTAACAGCATTCTTAAGAGGAATTCAAAGAAGTTTTATAAATACGGGCCCTGGTTTCATTTAAAAGGGCTGATCGTCAAATATTGTCCTAGGTTAACTTTCATGGCGGATAAAGCTTACATCTTCTCACTCACACACACACACACACACACACACACACACACAC